CGTTGCATTAAATTTGCTGGCGACCCTGATTTTTACTAATCACAAATTATGTGGATAAAATAACTGATAGGACTGTCTCCGTGTCATTTCTGATTCTCACCACTAGATGGGGATATTGATTAGCCTGTGTCTCTTACTATTGCATAAGTCCAATTACATCCTAATTTTTGCGCTCGTGGTGCCCCTTTCACCGCTGACCTGAACTTCAGTGGAAACGTAAAACGAAATGAGCTGAACTCGCAAGTCAAAATCGAGAAGAAAGGAGTTGACAAAGCACGGTAAACAATGACAGTTTGAGCAGAATGATACCGATTTAGTGTGCTGCCCTGTCCTTAAAAGAAAAAAAAAACTTTACATGTCCCAGCCGATCCAGTTCATTGTGTCAGTAAGTCACTTTGGAATATCAATTTGAATTTCAGGTTAAGGGGCACCCCTGAGAGTGAGAGAGGAGGAGAGAGGGAGTGCACAAAATTCAATGGTGGCAGAGAGGACGTGCCTAACAAAAACAGGCTCGGTGAAATGGTGGAGGTAGGCTGGGTTGTTATGGGAGCAGTGACTGCTCTGATGTAACACCCAGCAGATGAGACCTCCAGCACTGGGTGTCCTCTCTTTCCACTTGAGTCAGAGGACATCTGCTGGTTGACAAATATCATGCTTGTCTCCTGCCCACAGTCCCCCCCCCCCCCCCACCCCCAACGTGGCCTCCTTCCCTGCGAGTGCGGCGGGGAAAGCAGGCGCCTGCTTGACAGCTCCTGCGCATCCTCGTGCAGAGCCGCACGCTCGGTCAGCCTGCCTGTCAGCATGCTACTGAGCCTGTGGGACGAGTCGGCGTGGAGCAGGAGTTGTGGGGGGGGGGGCTTGACTGCCTACTGGGAACGGAACATGCTCGTTTGCTGGGCGAGCACAGCGCGGGCCGTGACTGGGTTCAGTCACACCGACGGGCCTGCGTGGTGGGTTTCCAGTGTACCTCTATCTAACGCTCTCTCTCTCTGTTTACTCATCCTTTCTTCTAAGGAGATAAGGCCGTCTACGCCTCTGTCTCCTCTCTCCGTGTTGTCCTTCTTTGAACTTCCCTGCCTCTATCGCTTCATCTCCCCCCTGGAGGTGATAACACAGTTCGATGTCTCTGGCTTTGCCTCTCCACTCCTGACCTACAGGTAGGTGTCTGCGCCGATGCCAGCCAGTTTAACCCTAATCAGCACACGTGGAGTTGGTTAAAAAAACACACAGACACAGAGCACACACCAAGTCGGGGCAGTAAACGGGAAGGGAGTATTCCCCTCTCTCAGCCCTGTCACTCTGCATCCCTGCTGTCAGGCTTTTGCCAGTACGTCATCATGGGCGCCCTCTGTTGGCCGCTGTTGGAGCCTCCCCTGGCCTGGGGTTATATATATGGTCCTCGCTGTTTTCTCGACAGCCAGTTAGCCTCTTCCAGGGGCACGCTGACATGCAGACCCACTAACCGCATGCAAGCGTGTTCACTGTCACCCTGCCAGCACCGTCGCACCCTCCCCCCCCCATCTGTGAAAAATAATGGGTGGCAGAACTTGTGTGCATGTGTATGTGGGGGGGCAGAAGGGATCCAGCCAGTGAGCCCTGGGGCAGGTGGGTGAGGGCACACAGGCAAGTCTCTCCATTTGGCATACACCCCCATCACCTCGGCCACACCCCCATCACACTGGCCACGCCCCCATCACCTTGGCCACACCCCCATCACCTTGGCCATGCCACCCATGGTGCACTGAGGCCCACCTGGGGCTTTGCGGCCTGAAACGGCTTCTCATATGACCACCAGCCTAGCCTGTCCTTGTTTTTGTCGCCAGGCCGACAGCTCCCCCCTCCCCCCCACAGGTCCAACGCGCCATTTGGTCTCCCTGCATAAATCTCAGCTGGAGCTCGGGCCCCAGTTTGCCTCTCCTCAGGCCTGGGGACGGCCCTCAACGACTCCCAAGCCGTGTGAAAGCCTCGTTTAAATTTAGGCCAGGTCTGACGTGGGGAAATTTGGAGCCGGCCCTCGTCGGCTTGTAAAAAGAGAGAGTGGAAGCAGGGGTTAGTGCCAATAGGAAGAGCGTGTTCCTCACCAAGATACAGGAGACTCTGTCAACACACACTGCTCTCAATATAGAAGCTGCAGCTCTGCCAGGCATACCTCTCTCTTCATTCCCTCTATCCTTAGACGCTCTCCCTCACACTACCACTTATTTGCTTCATTTATGGGTCTCCTGAACACACTCAGTCCCAAGCGCTCTGTCCCACGGCCCCCGGAATGTCCTTCATGCCATGAGCGACTCTGTCTCCACCCACGTCGTACACGTCTGGCCCTGCCAGGCTTTGGTTTAATTTGACATGGACCCACATTCTCGGTCCACTCTCACGTAACAGATCATCCCCATATCCAAGATCCACTACATTTCATTTGACCCCTGTTAGCGACATTCATAAACCGCAATTAGCGAGGTCGGGGTCTTCAGTTGCGCCTAAACGCTGAAAAGGCGGATCACTATGCCGTTTTCGAAGATGAGAAGGTCCATCAAGTTATTTCTGCTCTTTGTGCTCTTTCAACCTTGAAGAAGTACATATTTGCATACTGAGGATGATTTTTTTAGAGATGGAAATGAGCAAACCAGAAATTTGAGTTTATTACTTAATAGAGATATCTTCCCTTTCAGATATTGCCTTGTAGATGATATTAGATTTTCAGACGAGTTCCCGAATTACTGGTTCTGCTTTAACATGAATCTCGTTATTTGCAGAATAGCACACAAAACGTCAGTCACCTTCCTCAGCGCCCCCCCAACTTCCTCAATTTACCCCCCCTGCACTTTTTCTCAGCTCTACCCTACTGCCCTGCTCTCCCCCTCTCTCTTCCCCCTCTCTTTCCTTCCTCTGCACAGGAGTGTGGTAATCCCATTACTCATGTGCGAATACCAGCTGGGAGAGGGGGGGGCAGACGGGAAGGGGAGGGAGGGAGGGAAGCAGAGGAGAGCAGGAAAGTATGGACGGAGAAAAAGTTAATGTCCTCCTACAGAGAGTAACTCTACGCAGCGTGCTGTGACCGAAGAGTGTTTTTCCCTGGATGGCGGCTGCTCTGGCTTGCCAGTGTGCCTGTCGTGCCCAGTGTGCCCGTCGCATGGACAGAGAGGGAATAGGATTCAAAAATAAAACAAGGGAAAGATATAGTGTGATTCCTGACGGGTTAAGCGCCAAGCTTGAAAATAAACAAGTTCTTTGATGACAAAGAACCCATTGAGTCTCTCTCTCAGACACACACAGACATGCACACTAATACATACACTCTCTCTCTCTCTCACCCACACACACGAACTTGCACATTAATACTCATACTCTCGACCTCCCTCTCTCTCTCCCTTTTCCACCTCTCAGTCTCGTTCTGTCTCCGCAGTTTCTCCACGCGTGACGCTTTTTCCCTTCTCCCCCATGTTCTCTGTCTTTCACATGGCTTGCCCCCCCCCGCGCCTTGGGCTCTCCGTCAGCAGCAGCGCTGTCATTCTTTCCCCTGTGCCGTCCTTCAGATTCTAATTACCATGAAGAGATCGGCCCGGCACCACGCACATTACGGTAAATTAGGAGATATTGCAGAGAAAAATAAGTTATCGATGGGAGGTGAGGCGCGGGACGTATAATAATAAGGGCACACCCTCCCTTTCTGTGGGCGCACCCCCCGGCTCGGCCCGGCTCTCCCCTTTCCATGCTCATCTCGGGTTTGGGTCTTGGCTCGCCCTGTGTCCCCTGCCGTTTCGCGGTCACCCCCGGGGGAGCACATCAGAGACGCGGTTCCATAAACCCGAGTCACCAAATCCAGTGGCCCCTGCGGCGGCGGTGGTGCACAGGTGTGTCGCACCCCTGCGCGCTCTGTACGTGGGTGTGTGTGGTTTTTTTGTGCGCGTAACACGAAACGCATGTATTCTGTTTCAGCTTGGAATGACTTTATTGGCACGGCCAATGCCAAAACTATTGTGGTGTCCGCCTGGGGCCCGTGAGCCCTGTGCCTATGGTCTTCTATCTTTTTGGGCGGGCCCGCTGACTGGGGGAGGAGGAGGGCAGGTTCTGGTGGCGCCTGTCTGTTCAGGGCGCCCAGTCCATTAGGTGAAGTGACCATGTCCACTGGGCTCGCTAATTCGGCTGACTGGAAGTCTCTGTTTGCTGTCAGTCCCAAACCTCCTGGGCACTGGGGCAGCCGCCCTGTCCGCCTTCCTTCCCCTCTCTCGTCTTCCCACTCCTGTCTCTGCCTTTCTGCGGACCCTGTATATTCCCCCCCCCCCCCAATTCAGTAATGCTGTAGGCTCTTAGCCGCATGTGTGTGATGCGTTTTATCTGGGTGAGAGAGGCAGTGTTAAGGGGACTCCCCTTTTCTCCGAGTTGTCCTGCTCGCATGCGCACATCACTTCGGTAGCATGCTCTCACACTCTGGACATGGCTCACTGTCCCTCGTCACACAGATAAAGCCTATTTTCAATTAAAGACGAGGCTCTTTGTCCCCAAGGAACAGACAGGGAGTGGTTCCTCAAATACCGCGGGTAATTGGGGAGAGGTGCACTGTTTTCTGTCCTGAAAACGAGCCTCCTTTCTCCCTCTTTCTCTCCCTAAGCGTCTCTCTGTCACTCTGATTAGGGATGGGGATCGTCTCACAAAAGAGGGAGCCAGCGTAAGAAAGAGGGGGAGTGGGGCTGGGGGCGGCCGCCGAGGAACCGAGGAGCATGGATGTAGAGGTTCACAGCCTTGGACCTTGGAGATCAAGACGAGTTTGGAGTTTTCGAACTAATAACCCGACATACACATTCTGTGTGTGCTTTTTATGGTTTTAGCATGTTAGCAAAGTGTGGAAAAAAGTTGGATTTTGGCCTGGTGGTTGTTATTGTTCTGAGTCGATCATGATATATTGATATTGTTTGGGTTTCTTGAGTGAGTGGAGAGAAGGACTAAGAGAATTAAAGGGCTTAAGTGGAAAACAGTATTATTGATGCAATTGTACAATTTTTCACATGGAAAACAATTTCTGTTATCATGACAAATAATTGTATTTCCTGCTGAGAAAGCTGGGAGTTGGGTCCTCACCGAGCAATCGCCGTGGTGATGGTACCTGTTTGTCATAACCACAAAATCTGCCAACTAGTTTGTAAAATGTGAAAAGGAATGTAAAAATGGGGAAATCAAAACAAAAAATGGGAGGTAAACATTTCAAATTCTGTGGTTTTAGCCAGGGATACGGCTCTGCATGAATCATTTTTAAATATGAGAGAAAAAGCAGAGAGGGCGGCAATGGTGTGGACGGTAATGGACGTAGGTAACGATGGTGGAACAGTGGGAGCGACAGAGACGGAGACAGGAGAGAGACAGCAGGAGAGAGGAGGAGAGAGACAGACAGAGAGAGGGTGAGGGGGAGGAGCCGTGTTAATCAGTGTTCAGAATGTACTGTGCCATAGATGTGACTGAAATGTCATCGCCCTGCACTCATGTTGCCATAGAGCACCTTTTGAAATAAACAGAGAGAAATCGGGGAGAAGGAGAGCAAGATGGGGGGATGACAGAGTGAGGGATGGTGGGGGAAGAAAGGGGCCGCCTCCTTCCCCGTACCTCCCCGTACCCTCATCCTCGCCTCTCGGAACATTGCTCTTTCCTCTCCTCTTCCACTCCCTCTCTTTCTGCTCTCATCTCACCAAACAAACTTCCTCTCAGAAAAGCCAGGGGCTTCTGAAGGACCCTTCACCTGAGAGAGCGAGCGAGGCGGCGTGCAGCTAATAACGAAGATGGGCTGCAGGAAGATCATGAAAACGGCCTGTGAAACAAGAGCATGTAAATAAACATGGAAAGCTAACTAGGTCTACAAAAACCAATATGTCTTAAAAGGAATGTCATTATGATGTTACTGGCTTTTAGAAACCAGTGTATGTGAGAGTGTCCTTAAATAAATGGGACACAAACCGACAGTGCCCAGGGCTCCACCAAATTGTTTCCCAAATGGATGTGTGGAAAAACACATCATAGGAGCCCAGAAGCTCTTCCTGGGCAAAGAGAAACAAGGCAGGCAGGACAGGATGCAGCTTCCTGTTTCCTGGATGCTTGGAACTCAACATCCCGGCCAAAGGCTCCTGTAAAGGCCACATCATTACCCAGGAAACTGAAGAACCACTTGGTGAGGTGGCGTCGGCTGCAAAAAAACAAGAGACCATGCATGACGATCCAATTTTTATTTTTATTTTTTTAACAGCATGATTTCTGCATCAAGACTCTGTCAGTCATCACACTCTCTGCTTCTGATTGGTGCTTTGGCGTTTTAGCCATACCTGGAAGTGTTGGGCTGCGGGAGGAAACACACTCTACTTCTCAAGCGTGGCACGTACACCCAGCCAGCAGCATAGAGCCACCCTGCACCCTAGGGGGGTTGCTAGCAGAACACGGAAGGTCCTGATGTCCTGACTGGGGACCGCATTGCCTTTTCACTGCTAAAAGATGTCACGGGTAATGAGGAACACGTGCAAGAAGTGGGACTGTATGTATTGACGTGGAGTGATTCTGGCAAACGCGTCATTACCCGTAACTTTTGAGTGGAGTTTCTCTCATTCAAGATGAATTAATTTGCTTTCTATGTGAGGGGGGGCTGTGCGTGCAGTACAATTCGGGAGCCTGCTGTTCTTCTGTTAGAGAGCAACGTCACATCAGAGGTGTGAACAGAAGGCAGAATTAGTATCAGTTTACCTCAGGCAAATGTGTCTCCTACTCTGAAGACAGACAGTGTGCTCTCTGTACCCCAGGCGTATACAGCAGGGCACATTCACACTACAGGCTGCCGTCAATGAAAATCAACAGACTAACAGGCAAACGTATGCTCTACCCTCAGCATCAGAGCTTCAATGAGCAAAGGCACACACCTGTAATTCGGCTCCACAGAAGGTTACTGATGGACGTATTTTCTCAAGTCTTGCTCTTGCATTTTGCCAAGCTTTAGCAAGTACCTGGGTCCACACTCACAGTGACCACACAGATTTTGCAATGAAATAGTTAGTTACACTGTTGGTGGGAAAGCCAGTATATGTGTTTGGTTCTCATTGCACAAATAAATAAAAATACAACACATGATAAAGTTTGCTGGCAAGTCATTAAGTGGTAGCTCCAGGGTTAGTTGTTGAAATCCGCAGTTTTATGCATATATATATATATAATGACACCTTTTCTAGGCAGGGTTATACCCCGTGGCATCCTGTCTGGTCATCTTACTTGGCCTGCCTGAGAGAGGTTCCAGCACCCCCATAACCCTGCTTAGGGAAGGTGTTTACTATTTAGATCAGGGGTGGGCAATCTTCTTATCCGCAAAGGGTCGGTGTGTATGCAGGTTTTTGGGATAACCTGTAGGTCATCTGTTCAAACCCAGGTGTGAGGACTCTTCAGCCAATCAGTCCTCTAATTAGTAAACTAATTAGGTAGTTGCAGCGAAAACCCGCATACACACCGACCCTTTGCGGATAAGATTGTCCACCCCTGATTTAGATGCTACATTATTAATACAAAATATATCTACAGTAACAATGTACCTTTTCTCGCATGTGCATATTTGTAGGTTGTTTACAAACGCGGCAGCTTTGTGATGCCGTCCTTATAACTTGCTATTTGCTATTAGCAATCATCGCTCTCTGAAACTGTTTATTAAAAACGGTACACGTGACGTAGGTAGACGTGATGACGCCGCCATGCCTCTTCTCGATTCTGAACGTTGGCAGCGTGTGTAGGACGCGGATGTTACGTCACCACGGCAGCGGCTCTGGCGGTCTCCAAGGCGACGCCGCGTGCTGCAGTGACGCCAGCCCGGCTCGTGGCGAGTGGGCGTGACCCCCCCTTCCGTCGTCCGTGTGGGCGGCCCCGTGCAGTAGAGAGAGAGAGCGAAACACGACACCCCGGGAAAGGAGGGGGGGAGGAGAGAGTAGCTACGGAGTGAGTGGAGGAAGAAGAAGAAAGTCGGTAAAAAGAGAAAGAGAGCCACACTGACTCTATCCATCGGTGAGTTTTCGATAAAGCAATGCTGAAGTACGCGGAATGCGAGAAAGAGAAGGAGTAAACAAGTGACCAAAACTGCTGAAACAACGAAGCGAGCGCCGGGAGGGCTCTCAATCCTCTGCTGCGTCCGGACTGCTGGCTCAACCTGCATTTCTCCGCACTCGAGTTGGACGGAGTGACACTGCCCCCGGGGCCACTTCGTCCCTGCGATCTGGGGAAACTACACAGCCACGATACAAACTCCGAAGAGGAGGAGGAGAGGGAGAGGGAGGAGGAGGAGGAGGGGGCCTGGGAAGGAGAGGGAGAGAGCGGAGGAGGAGGGGGGCGCGCTGAATCAGTGAGTGAAACGGAGCAAGTTAAGCGCACCACCGACGGCAAGAAAAGTTTGTAGTTTTGTGGTTTAGATTAACACTGGGAGGAAGATCGACGAGAAGGGATTGAGAGGGAGGCCAGCTTGGCTCCCGAAACTCGAGCCGCCTGATTGATCCATCTCGAAAGCCACTTTCATCATGAAACCCCCGGGAGAATCGGGTAAGTTGTGCAAACATTTTTTTTGCGCATGGACATCAGAATAGGCGCCTAACTAGCTGGCTTGAGGCATAATACCTGCCGTATACTGACTACCTGGTTAACCCATGGGGCGATCATTAACTCGCGAGGTACAAACAGTTACGCGCAGCGTGTTTTATTCCCCGATGACAGGCTTCTGGTACAGTAACCGACCCCAAATCATCAAATTACCCATGGTGATAATTAATGTCAAATCTGATTTTCCCCATGTTTATCCGTGCAGACACGATGCACGCTCAACTATAGTGAACAGGACTGCAGTTTTGGGGAATGTGGCCGTTAGCTTGGTGAAAGTTGGAGACTAAGCGATCACACAAATAACCGCAGATTAATATGGCATATAAGGGCGAGATTGGTGGTGGACCAATCAAACTGGCCAGAAACGGGATCGATCGTCTTCGGTTTGGGTAGCCGGTGGACCGGGGAAATGTGTATGTGTTGGCGGCATAAGGGAGACAGCACTGCGGCGATAGGCCCTGCTCCGGAGGGCTGCCCGGGCGGACCGCGGGCTGCTTGCTAACTCTCGACCGTGAAAAGTTCATTGTCCCACTTACGTCGCCTCTCCGGCCGGCGGCGTGCGGCCGCGCCGCGTTCAGCTCGCACAAAGTCGCCCAGTCCCCGCAGCCGGGCACATTTGGAGGCGACCTGTTGAACGTGTCGGATGAATGTGCGTCGTGTTGGTGTTGCTGCTGCTGCTGTTTTTTTTTGTGCTGAAGTTTGTCTGTTTGGCGGCGTGAGGGTCTGCGCGGCTGCCCCGGCGTCCCCCCCCCCCCGCAGCGGGTCTCCCCGCTCGGCGCCCTGGCCTTAGCCGTTAGCTGTTAGCCGGCGCACACGGCGTACAAAATGGAAGCGTTTTCTCTTCTCAGGCGGAAACCACTTTTTTATTTAGTAAAAGAAAAGTTAATTACGCCGTTAAATCACCTCGGTCCGAATCTGGTGCGGTTTCTGCGAGCCGCTAGCCGTACATAACTTTTTTTGCGCCTTTCTTTCGTGCCTTAGCTAGCCGGTGCGTTTGTGCTGGCTAACAGGAATGTAACAGTAGTTTAGCTGTTACTTTCATACTTTTCTGTAGTTCATTCTCCCCGCTTAGCTGTTCGCTAAGTCACACGACGTCGCTCCGCTAAGCTGGACCCTTTCGGTGTCCATGCCGAGATTGTCTTTCCTTGTCGGATCGCTCTTTTAAAATCGCATAGTTTTGTTATTTTGTTATTTTTTCTGTTTTTGTTTCATTTCCCCCACCCCTCCCGCACCCCACCCCCTCCCAGCCCTCGCTCATATTCCACTCGTAGCTACTGGAAAAAGTTTCCGTGAAATATTAGTAACCTGAGTTAAGTCTTGACAGTTAGGGACTTTGTTTAGTTAGCTAGTTAGCCAGACGCCTTCATGTCTGGTTTCACCTGTTTTGGAAGTTTCTGTTGGGGGAATGGAGACATACACTAGTGGGTAACGTTAACTTTAGTTTAAAATGTGATAATTTTTTCTGGGTGATTGAGTATTAATGTATTGTAATGTATTAATGCATTTTGCGCGGGCGTGGGGGGGCATCTTGGTTAACCATTCCCCCCCCCCCCCCGGATTGCATGCATCACACCGCCTCCATCAGCACAATAACTCCATCACACGGTCGCACCGACGGGAACAACACGAGTCATTCACGCAAACAACATTATCGGCATGGTAATGCATTCAGCCGGACTGACACGATCAGGCTTCGGCACTGACAAGACCGTCACCCCGGCACCACAATGGAGTCCCGTCGCCCTCATGGTCACGTTTAGAGCGACAATCGTGATCTTCGTGCTTTTCAAAAAGTGTTTTTCACTCCCCCCTAGACACTGTTCAGTATGTGCGGACCTAAAGTACCAAGGAGTACCGAGAACAATGAAATCAGCGCTTGAAATATAGGAGAGAGCGTCTGTCCAGATAAGGCTTGGTAGCGTGAAAACTCCTGGCTCCTGTTAAACAGGTTAAAAGACCGTGTCGCCCAAGTAAAATTTTGTAAACCCCAAAACGGAGCAGATGCAAATATTTGGCTGCACACAGCGTGAACCTGACAGAGATTTGACTTCTCCGGGGGCCGCAACAGGCACCGGTCTTCTGTGACTGGGCTATGAGATAGGCGTGTACTTTTTATACGCTTGTTGATTTCTGCAGGTCTGTGTGACTTGTTTCCTGTTTCATGGTGTTGCATGATGTCGATTACCTGAAAAGCCAGACGCTGTCATCTGGCTTTCAGTCTAGTGGCAGAAATAGCTGCTTCAAACTGCCTCCACACTATTCTCCTTTGGATCTGTGCGATATATATATATATATATATATATATATATAAGTTCCTATGCTCTGTGTGTGTGTAAATATGTAAGTGTGGACTTTCTCAGTGGATTCATTACTGGATTCATTGACGTTGGTTCACACCATTCTTTTTGACAAACAGTGCATACACCTGGCTGAATAGGCATTATTCTGCTTATTTTCACTTAAAGTTTGCCTTTCAGCAACATCATACCACACTGTGAGGTACATACATGTGTATTGAGGAGGTGGCCATGCAGCAGGTGTCAGGGACCATAGCGGTGAGGAGGCCAGGCTTTCCATCGTGGTGGCGATGGCCTCTCCTCATCCGCTGTATGCTGCCTGTGCATGTGACTGCATGTGCCACGTACCTCCAGTGCCCTGGGGCAACCTCGTTCTCTAGAAACTCTCTCGGACAACTTTGCAGCTTATCCTGTCAGTACTGGAGGAAGATCTTTAGGTAGAAGCCAGTATCTAGCGTCAATTCCCTTGGATGCTGCCGTGATGGGAATACAGCGTGGATTGACTGCATCCTTGCAAACCCACCAGTGAAATGTCCTTGTTTGAGGTGCTGTGCATATTCTAAACCAGCCATATTTTTTGACAGTTTTTTTCTGTTTTAAGAATATTGATGTAGGAGTATTATGACACTTAAATTTTTTATTATATATGTAAACTAATCCAGGACATGAAATATATAACAATTTATAATCCGAGTATCCAACACGTGCTCAAGGCTCAAGTTGTCACGGTCAAACTGCCATGATCCACATTAATAATGGATTTTTTTTTCCGCGTGATGGGTTTCAGGTATCTGGTGTATTCTGCTTCCAATCAATGATGTTTTTTTTAAGTAAATGTCACATTTATGCTTCTTGGAACAATCGTGGTAGGTGTTCCACTGCCTGTCCTGTCTGTTGTGTGACCCCCGCAATCCCATGTGACCACACCCTGAGTGTCTTGACCTCCCCCCGCCCCATGGCAGGCCTCCCGAAACCCTTCAAAGTGAGGTCGCTGGTGAAATGGCCGGGGAGGGCTCTGTTACGTGCATGGGAATGGCTTCCGTGTGTCTCGGGCCAGGGGGGGGCTGCGCTGCCCCGATTGTGGCTTTCCCTCTGTGATTGTGGCCAGGTGTGCGGCAGAAATCTGAAATTTAGCAAATCTTTTGGCTCATTATGACCATTGGAGCATAAAAATACACTTTTAAATACACTTCTGATACATTCAATGGTTGCTACTTTAAAATCTTAGTTTTAAAACATTAATTATAAACTATTTGGTTGGGCCACATTGTTACAATACTGTACCTGCCTTGGTCATGTGGGTAGAGTTTAGTGCCCCCAGCCCTTGAGGTTAGATTGGCCACTGTGGTTAGTAGCAGTCATGCAGTCTGTGTGTGTAAAGGCAGTCTATGAGTTTGAGCTGATAAGAGGGGCTTTGATTTGTGTTATCAGCGTGTTGGTGTGAGCATATGGGGGGTGGCTGGGGGCATAAGGCCACGGGGAGGGTGTTGCTGATGGGATCAGTGGCCATCACAGGTCCCGCCCCCTCGATCAGCTATTATGGGATTGTAGTTGGTTGATAACGGTGAGACTGTGCTGTTGATATGGCTGCATCTGAGCTTTTGTCGCTTGGATAAAGTCTGAGCGCATGTTGGATCATGGGATAGCCATGCTCTGGGGGTGCTGGCTGTGCATGAGCCCTGCGTGGATGTATGTGGGGGGCCTTGTGCCCCCCCCCTACTTTTCAGCATCGTGTGTGAGCTAAAATACTTCTCTGTTCTCTGGCATGCTTGGAGCTACAACTGTAAGGCTGGGATCTATGATGCTTGGTTTTGCTTTGGCTTAACTGCGTTTTACCTGAAAACGGGGGTCCAACCCTGACGAGTGGAGTGTATTGTGGTCTGGCGGCCATGTTGGGCTTCCACTTCTGATTCTTTATAGCGACCGATGGCCTTCTATGCTTTCTGTGATTTTTAGCAAGGGAGCATTTTGTTGGGGGTCGGGTGGGGGTATGGTTGAGCTGACCGGAGGTGGGGGGGAACCAAAAGCTGGGCCCTTTTCCTCCATCAGCAAACTGTGTGCTTGTGGAGATATACTATCTTATCTACATGACTTAACAGCAGTGCATACTTCAACAAACTCATTTTTTTCCCCTCCATAATTATTTTTATAGATGGGGCCGCCGTCGCCTGCTTATTACCTCTCCCTGCTTTTATTTGCGAGCTCCTGAAACTCAACCTGTTGTTCATGCATGGGCTCAGTGGAGGGTTCGGGGGGCATTCTCAGCCCTTTGGGCCGCCCGATTGCTGCTTGTCGTGCCAGGAGACTTTGGCATGAGGGTCGGCCCGTCGTAAAGCCGCTGCCTCTTGCTGGTTTTGGTACCAAGGCGCCGTTTTGTTATTTTGGTTTCTGCGGGCACCGCAGCTCCAAATGAAAGTCTCTGATGCAGTTTAACTAGCTGAAGCTCTCTGTCATTAAGTCCGGAATGCGTGGACAGGGATCCTGCTCCTCACACAGGCGTCACCCTGCCGCGCTGATGATGTTTCTCTGCATTTAAAAATCGCAGGTGTGGCCGGCCATTAAACGGCCAGCGGCAGGCCGGCCACTAGCTGGAAATCCCGGATTTATGTACGGCCCTTTCCCAGCCCTCGCCCCGCAGCGATGCGT